GTTTTATTTAATGATATTCAGTTAAAAATATTAATTAAGTCTTGTTAAATAAAATGGTTCACCCTTAATATAAAGATTTCTATATGTTATAGATGGAGATCTTGATGAATGAGGTCAATAAAATCAGGAAGATTATATAATTCCAGAAACTTATATATTCTATGATACTATATTTATTAAAAAAAACTGAGTCTGAGTGCTGTTAATCGGTTTTATATATAAAGGATGTATTATCGATAGTAAGATGTCTTCTTTTCATCGTATGCAGGAGAGAATTCTATTTCCATTGGATCTAGAAATCTTAATGTTTTCATTTTTCATCTCTTTTAATAACTTTGTGACAGAGTCAGTAAATTACATTATTTCACTGGAGTCAGGTTATGAAAAAAGTAGTTGACATCGAGTCGGGTTACGAAAATAATTTTGAACTTCAAGTGGGATCTTCCTGTAAACATTTTGCAGATACAAAATACTATCTGAATATTTTTTTTCATTTATAAGTTCTATCAGATCAAATATAAAACCTTAGTGAAACAAGATGTTATGTATTGCTCGATCTTTTCGTTTACTTCGACGACTTTTCTTCATCGACATCGGACCGTGATTATATAGCTAGTTCGTTCTTTATTCAACAGTGATATAAAGATCGTAGATTGTATACGTAAGAAGAGAAAAATAAACAAGAAAAAATTCTATCACATATTTATGTTGTCTCAACACCAATATATCGACAAAACATTAAGAATAACAAGAGATTCAAACCATAATCTGTGCTTCCAACTACGAAATGAATGGAAGAAAAAAAAAGAATTGAGACGTTACTTTGCTCAAGAGAACGATAACACTTGTCGATACCAGAGTACGACTAGGAGCAGAGATGTAGTCGGATCCAGCTGTGTCCGTGCAGGCCACAACAAAAGTTGACCCGTGTCGGACATTTATGAATAAGACTTGAAGGAATACATCATGTTTGCGTTAGAAAGAAGAAGAATTGATAGTAGGACTGAACGAATCAAGCCATTTCTAGAGTCAACTCAAGTCGAGTCAAGCTGTTTTGATATTTTCTCCTTTCTATTTACTTTGATAAAGATACGTTTACCATAAGTTTTCATTACACAATGTTTAGTTGCTAGTATCTTGTATGTAAACAAAAATAAGAGAAGACAAACATAAGATAAAAGTGTGTGGGTATAGGCTTTGATAAAGAGAAGATTCCACATTCATACTCTTTCTTGAGCAATAAATAATGTGAAATGTATAATAACAGAAAAAAATTGCTTATCAAAAATGCACTTGTTAAACGCTTATACTACCGCATGATAAACAATATGATGCATGATCCTAGGCGAAGATTCAACTTATTTTATTATATACATATGTATATCCTCTAAAGATAAACTGAAGCAAAACATCAAGAAAAGACACATACTCAATAATAAGTTTAGGCTATAATATCAGATTATATGAATACATAGGTATAAGAAAACTCTTGAAAAATTCTTCAGATTTTATTCATTTGATAAGGAAAAAGTTACGAATAAGTGAGAATAAAATTTTATAAAATAAAAATTTTTACTGAATCAATGACTCGCTTAGATAAGTGTCAAACAATCGAGTCAGCGTTGCTCGATTTTCTAGTCCGAATTATAAGTCATGACTCAAACTCGCCTAAACCTGATTTATATACCAGATCGAAATACATAGCCGATGAATTGTTTCGTCGTTTGTTTCAATTAATGCGAGTGCACAAAAAAGATGCGGGTGTACGTCTGACTAACTTTTCTTCACACTGACATCCTACACCCATGCCCTCAAAATTTCAATCGAAGATTTATCATTTCTAAAATTTGCAATAAAAATAGTCTGTAAACTGCTTTCATATTATCGTGAGACGATTCACAGATGTTTCAGTGAAGATTATTCTCTACTTTGTTAATTATTGTTTTTCTTATAGACTAAAATGCTTTCCGTGAATGCCGATATCACTTTAGTTGAACCTTCGACTCTGGAACAGTCGTCCGTTGCTCATTCGATGGAAGATTCCAGCTCAATTCAAAACGTGCACGATTCAAACAACATCCTTGATTTCGGAGACACTTCGACAATGTCTGACGAGGTTGAAACGAATAAGTATACATCTTTTTTTATAGTTTCAGTTGCTATCCACATTCGTCTTTGTTAGAGAAAATGTTCACCAGTTAATGACTAGCGCAAGGTACGAACGCGTCTTTGCATTTATTATTTTCACAGGCATCATGATGATCATTGGTATCCTAACTATCTGTTTTACTGTATCAAAAAAACCAGGTACGTTGTTCGATCATTATCATTTTTGCTAGAGAAGTCAATGCCAAAGCGCAAAAAAAATCGATGTGTTAGAGTTTGTTTTAAATTTGTAGACAAAGTTCGGTAATACTGATCAAACTCTAAAATTCATCAATTCCAAATCGATTATTAATCGAAATTGTAACTACTGTCACTGTAAATGTGGCTTTAAATTTTACTCTAGGTTAATCGTAAACTAGTAGAAATTACAGCCATTCTTAAGCCTGGAACTGGGATATATTATTTTTAATCGTATGGACTACTTCCGACTGTGACTTGTGCCTAATGATATGCATCATTAAGGCGAATTTTCTTCATTTCATTTGTTTGAAATTGAATATCTTGAAATAATTAGGAGAATTTCTAAGCTAAAATTTGTGTTATGTAGACATCACAGTGAAGAAAAAAAATCAATCAGTATCCTTGTCTTGATTTTATTATGTGAAAAGAGATTAGTATCGCTCAGTACTACTGTTCATACTTAATCGTTGTCGTGATGTTCACACTACTGGTATTCTATTGAAGGTATGCAAAAAAAAAGAGGCGTTTTTATTTTCAGTCTTCAAAACTACAACATGAAGTTACGGATAAGTTTCTACAGAATAACAGGTTTTATGGAAAGTTGTCCATGAATGTTTGAGTTCCAAATTAATTTCTTCAATAGTAATTGTAAGAGCCAAAATAACATTTTTTCTACACAGTTCATCAACAAAAATTTCAATCCAACGTCTATGTCGACAATTGCGGAGGTTTTAAGAAAAACTTCTGGTTCAAATCTAGTAGTGGGTTAATCCATTCTTCGATCCGAAAATAGCCTAGACGAATCTTAGATCGGCCTGAATCCAAGATTGACCTACGACATATACTGTTCTCATTTCAAATTAACGTATTACAAAATGAGAAAATCATACAAAAATGGCACTAAAAGAAAAATAGGCACGATATCCATAGATTACTACAAAGTTTAATCCTACTAAGTTCAATCAACTAATTATAGATGTTTCTTTTGAAAGCGATCACTTGTTGTTGCTGTAATCCTTTGTCTCTTGTTTTTTCACCATTTTGAATGAGAAAAAATATCTACATTGCTTGTATCCTTAAGTCCATAATTGTTTTGCGAAAGGAAAGAAAAACAAGAAGAGAAACGATATACATAACAATAAAAGAAATCTATAATGAGATTGTCATGGATGCATCACATATGTAATCAATAAAAATACAGCAATAAGTAACCGAATAACGGCGACCAGGAAAAAATTGTCTACTAATATCCTAACAATAGTTTTTTTGCCTATATGTATATATCATGCAATGATTAATTAATTTTTAAACCAAACAAAAGCCTCACAACTATTGTCTGTTAAAAAACAAGGTCGTAGCCATGTTTTTAAACAAACAATACTTCGAAAAGTTCTTAAAAGGTTGGAAAATCAAATTAATGATTGTCTTTGAATGTTCATGGATCATTTCCATGATGATTGTGTAGGGTACATAAAATTTTTACAGAACACAACTTTTATTATCTCTTGCGACGGCGATTTGCACAAAGAATAAGCTGTCATTGAAAAAAGTAAAATAATTGAGCTTCTACTCTAGCTCGAAGTTGACTGAAAATGTTGAAACCCAAAACAAATCCCAACTAAAAGCTAATCTTAAATCTGGGATCCACAATTTCAGCACGAATATAAAATCGCAAACGCTAAACACAGAAGTTTGGAGCTGATATTAGTACACTAACATTTCTACTTTCTATCTCATTCTACAAAGTTTGTATTTTTTTCAGAAGTTAGAGTTATGTCTCCAAAAAGAAATGTCATTGATTTCCAAATTTATATGCTCATATCCTTTAATAATACCTATCACTCTATTCATTACGTTAAAAGTATAGTCTTGTTTCACTATAAATTATTCAAAGTAAATTTGAAGAACCTCAGCAAATTGTTCGATCCAGAATACTAGAAAAAGGAACTATGCCATATGATTATCGTAAAGTTATCTCAACCTAATGCTAGAGAATAAAAAGCTATGGAAGATAAAAACATCACCTAGCAACTAGATAAAGAATAGTTACATAGACCATATCTTGTGGACTTTTTTGATTGGGCTTCTCCGAACACAGAAGACGTTGTTGTTATGCAGTCGGTGTAACGATTTTAGGTAGAAGAATTATTAGTGCAGATGGAATAACACTTTATCATCATTCTTCATATCGAAGAGCAGGAGAGAAAGAAAGAAAAAGGTAGAGTCAAGATAATTGTGACAGAAGACAGATGCATCGATGTCGTAACATCAAGTGGTCAACTAATCAATGATATACAGCCCTAAAATAAGAAATGTCAAGCAATAATTACATCATGATGAATTTACAATTAATTCAATCACAAAGTGAAATTACATAATGATCTAGAGTAGACTCAACTGAGAGTATACGAAGAAAACTTGAATTTCAAGCGCATTTATACATTGCTTTATTATTATACTACTTTTTAGGTCAAATCTGTGCATTCACTCTAAAATCTACAGTCCGAGATTTACTAGATTACGATTCTCATCCACAGTCAGTCGTTGTTTTTGATTTCAACAATGATAGTTGGTTAGATGTTGCCGTGGCGAATTCAAATGCTAACAATATAGGTGTATTTCTTCGAAATGATAATCATACTTTTGCAGCCCAAATGAATTATTCAACTGGTGCTGATTCAAATCCGCGCAGTCTTGCTGTCGGCAATCTCAATAGTGATCTCCAACAGGACTTGGTCGTTGCAAATTTTGGTACTCACAACATTGGAATCTTTTTCGGAATGAGCAATGGAATTTTTAAATTTCATACGACTTTGACCGCTGGATCTTCACGTCCACTTTGCGTTAGTGTCGGTGATTTTAATAATGACGGTCACTACGATATTGCCACTGTCAATTATGGAACTGATACCGTAGGAATTTTTCTTGGTCATGGAAATGGATCTTTTTCAAATCAAATTACTTTCTCTACTGGTTATGACTCGCTTCCAGTTTCACTTGTTATTGCTGATTTCAATTACGATAATGCAGTCGATATCGGTGTGGCCAATTATGGCACTAACAACATAGGAGTGTTTCTTGGTTATGGTAATGGATCTTTTGGAATTCCAACACTGTTGACAACTGGTATAAATTCTCATCCATATTCTATAGCTGTAGCCGATTTTAATAATGACCTTCAACTTGATATCGTCGTTGTCAATCAAGGTAACGAAAATGTCTGTCTACTTCTAGGAAATCGAAATGGAACTTTTTCGTTGCAAACGAGTTTTTCAACTCGCAATAATTCTTGGCCAGTTTCCATCGCTATTGGTGATTACAATCAAGATAGTGCATTAGATGTCATCGTAGCCAATTATGGCACTTCCGAACTAGTTTTATTGTTGAATAATGGTAATGGAACTTTTGTAGATCGAGCAGTGTATTTCACACAATATAGTTTTCATCCTTATTCGATTGTCAATGCTGACTTTAACAAGGACGGTAAATTAGATATTATCGTTACCAATTATGACACCAATAATATACAGATTATTCTTACATATAATAATTACACGATATCAAATCTAGCCACTTATTCAACTACTGACGATTCGAATCCAACATTCATCATCACCGTTGATTTTAACAATGATAGTCGCATTGACATTGCCGTTGCCAACTATCAGAAGGACAATGTCGGCATTCTTCTCCAGAATGATGATGGCACTTTTTCAAGTCAAATGATCTATTCAACTGGCACTAACTCTAGACCAAGATATCTCGGCGTAGGTGATTTTAATAGTGACAGTCAATGGGATATCGCCGTCATCAACATTTGGATGGACAATATTGCTATTCTTCTCGGATATGGGAACGGTAATTTTTCTGACCCAACAGTTTACTTAGATGACGAAGGTGGCCAGCCAATAGGGATCTGTGTTGGCGATTTCAACAACGATAACTGCTTGGACATCGTCGTCGCCAACTATAGGACGAGCGATGTCAGTATTTTCTTCGGATATTGTAATGGTAGTTTTTCCGATCGAACATCTTATCAAACTGACGATAATATTGGGCTCATTGGAATTGCTGTTGATGATTTCAACGGTGATAATCAATTAGATATTGCCGTCGTCAACCAGAAGACGGACAGTCTCGGTATTTTTTTGGGACATAGCGATGGTACTTTTTCCTATCAGGTGCCTTACTCAACTGGCACTGGTGCAGGGCCAAATGCGGTCGCTATTGGTGATGTCAATAACGACAATAAGAGGGACATCATCGTTTGCAATTATTATAATGACAATGTAGATATTTTTCTAGGAAATGGCAATGGTAGTTTTTTCAACCAACAGACTTATTCTATTGGCAGCGGTTCGTATCCAATCTTTGTCACCACTGGTGATTTCAATAATGACAAAAGGTTAGACATCGCCGTTGTCAATGGAGGTACTTACAATGTAGGTATTCTGCTTGGAGATGGCGATGGCAGGTTTTCAAGCATAAGGACGTATTCAACTGGGGATGATTCTAATCCAAAGTCGATCGCCATGACTTATTTCAACGATGATGATCTAATGGATATGGCCGTCGCTAATATGGGAACTAGTAATGTAGGTATTCTATTTGGTAGTGTAAAAGTAACTGGCATGGGCGAAGCTATATCTTTCACAGGATCGGCTCCATGTCCACAGAGTATTGCTGTAGGTGACCTGAATAACGATAGTCAATTAGATGTCATAGTCGGTAATTATGGCATGGATAATATTAAAATCTTTTTTGGAGATGCAAACGGAACTTTTCTCACACAAACAATATTTTCAACTGGTTTTTTGTCCCTTCCAACCTCTGTTGTTGTGAAAGACTTAAACAACAATAACCAATTGGACATTGTCATCGCTAATTCTGGCAATGATAATATTGGTATACTTTTCGGACATGGGAATGGTTCGTTTGATGGTCCAATTACATATTACACTGATATAGGTTCGAATCCACAATCGGTCGACATTGGTGATTTTAACGGTGATGATCAATTGGATATTGTAGTAGCTAATTACGGTTCTAAGAGTGTTAATATACTTTTGAAATATGATCCACGTGCTTTTCAAAGTATGATATGGTATTCTACTGGAACTAATTCTAATCCAAATTCAGCCGCCATTGGCGATTTGAATAATGACGGTCGATTGGACATTGTAGTTGCTAACAGAGGTTCCGGCAATATAGGTATTTTTTTTGGCTACGACAACGGAACATTTTCAAGACAAATTACCTTTTCAATTGGAAGCTCGTCTAGACCTTATTCGGTAGCTATTAATGATTTCAACAATGACAGCCGATTGGACATTGCTGTCGCCAACTTCAGGAGCGACGAAATTGTTATTCTTCTCGGAGACGGCGATGGCACTTTCACAAATCAAATGAGATATTCAACTGGCGAAGACTCAGGATCAATATTCATCGTGGTAGGTGATTTCAACAATGACAAACGATTAGATTTGGCCGTTGCCAACCATGCCAGTGCCAACGTCGGTATTCTTCTCGGATATGGTAACGGGAGTTTTAGAAATCAGATGAGCTATTCAACTGGTAGTAATTCTTTTCCATTATCAGTCACTGTTGGTGATTTTAACCATGACAATTGGTTGGACTTCGCTGTCGTCAACTATGCAACGAGCAATCTTGGTATTCGTCTTGGTCATGGCGACGGAACCTTTTCAAATCAAACAACTTATTCAACAGGAGTAAGGTCGAAACCATGTTTCATCACTACTGTTGATTTGAACAACGACTCTCGATTAGATCTTGTCGTTGCCAATTACAAATCGAACAATATAGGTATCTTTATTGGACATGGAAACGGCACATTTTCAAGTCAAACAGCTTATTCGACAGGTAGTGGTTCTGGACCGAATTCAATCATTATTGGCGATTTTAATAATGATGGCTTACTGGATATTGTTGTCGCAAATTTTCTCGGGAACACTATTGGAGTTCTTCTAGGATTTAAGAATGACGATTTTTTAAGTCTATTGACATATTCTACTGGTGATGCTTCTCAGCCATACTCAGTCGTTGCTGGCGACTTTAATAATGACGGTCGACTTGATATGGCCGTTGCCAATTACGGTAGCAACAATGTAGGTGTGTTTCTTGGTTATGATAGTCGAAATTTTTTAAGAGCACCATCCTATTCGATGGGAAACGAATCACGACCACGCTATGTTGTTGTTGGAGATTTCAATAATGATAGTCGGTTGGATGTTGTTGTCGCCAATAATGACACTGATAATATAATGATCGTTTTTGGATCTGGTCATGGTACGTTTTCGAGTAAAATGATGTATTTTACTGGCAATGGATCTCATCCATGTAGTATCGCGGTTAGTGATTTGAATAAGGACACTCACCTAGATATTATTGTCGCCAATTCTGGTAGTGATACTATTGGCATTTTGCTTGGTTATGGAAACGGTAGTTTTTCAAATCAAGACACTTATTTCACTGGTCTTCATTCGAGTCCATCTTCGGTTGGGTTTTGGATATGGACAATGATACACTTTGGGAGGTTGCTATAGCTACTGCCGATGCTAACAGTATTGTTATTCTTTGGGGCTACAGCAATCGAAATTTTACACATCAAACGACTTTCCAAAATAGTTTCGGTTCGCATCCGTTTGCAATCGCGGTTGGCGATGTTAATCAAGATAATTTAACTGACGTTGTCGTAGCCAATAATGGATATGGTAATATTGGTTTCATCTCGAAGACTTGTTAATGTTCGATTGTGATTTTTATCTAGAACTATATGTCATCACTTGCTCCTTACTGGGAGTGGACCATTTACATTAACTTAAAATTAAGTTTAAACTTATCACTTAACACTTAATATTAAAATTAAGTTTTTGCACTTAACCACTTAATTCATTAATATTACGTGATTGAAATGAAGAAAATATTATTTTCTTTTGACTTTTTTATCAAATAAAAGTTAATTTAAAATATACTAGGACTGATCACTATAATTTTTCAAGGGCTATCTAAAGATGATCACCATAACTCTTTAAGGCCTGCTCCCCTCAAAAAATGTCAATATACATCAGAAATACGACATTGATATGAGTGTACGAGAAGATAGTCCAAAGTCTGCTGTTTCGAAAATGATATAGATTTTCATTTGATATATCGTTTTTACTAAAAATTTTTAAGGAGCTCTGTCATTCCCTACTCAATAAATAAGCACTTTTTTACAAATATCTGAGAATCCTTTTCGTGTTTTCTGTTTAGCATTTTCTGATTTAACATTCCGAAATTCCTGAAAGAACTTCATTGTAACCAATAACTTTTTTTGTTTGAAATAGCATATCAAGATGCAGGGCACTAAAGAGCCCTTTTTTTTAAATTAAGCTTTACTTTTACTACAAATATAAACATTTATATGAATTGGCGCTTATTTTGAGAGTTTTGTGAGCCGTTGAACTTGTGATCTTTTTCTCTGCTTAAAAAGTAAGAATTAAAACAAAAAGATTTTTTTGGATTCTCCATTCTAATATGCTCTTTCAAACAAAAAATATAAGTAGAATGAGCCTCAACAAAGAAATTTCGTTTGCCAAATATGCTATTTTTGGTCCTTACGTAGCTAATATCTCCTCCAAACCTCATCATATACGACTGAAGATTTTATCATAGCGTCTCCACTATAGTCTCAACATATCCTGACAGTCTTATGAGATTTGAATGTACCGGGACTCACATAGGTTTTTGAGAGGAGATGCCTTAAGGTCTATGAAAGTTGGTTCCTAAGTTGTTAACCAAAATATTATTTTGTATGTCTCATAGTTGTTTAATCTTACAGCTGGTGTTTCTAGAAGACAATAGATACTAGTTTACTTTAAACGCATGAAAGCTATGAGTTGTACACACAGCACTACGTGTGAGAGTGGCGCCTTGTATTAAGTAAGCTGGTAACTGAAAACCACTCTCCTTACGTAAATCATTCAGTCATACCCATATCCACACTCATACCCTATCAGTCATTCATTTCTTATTAAACAGATCTATTGTAGTCATATCCAATGATGGGAATATGGGTGTCATATTGCTGTTACCTCCACTTACACCTACCAAAGTAGCAGTAAGTGTTTTTACTACTGAAAAATTTCCTATTTACTACGGATAAATCATTTGCCACTTACTAGTAGGTGGTAAGTGTTTAGCCAAGAATAGCAAAGGCTATTTGGGGTACCTAGAATAACTTTTTGAGAGCTATTAACGGGACCCCCCCCCCCTAATAGTCCTCAAAAAATACTCTAGATACTCCACAATAGCCTCCAAAAAGTTACTGTTGCTAAGCTTAAATAGTTCTCAAACGGTTACTCTTGGTGCTCTCAAATACAAATAGTCCTGGACAAATTATGAATGATATCCTCAAAAAGCCCTTAATACTTACAGATATGTGCCTCCCTATCCAGTAACAGACACTTACCACTTACTTGGTAACAGTAATAGGAATATGACACTCCTGATTGGAATAGACAAAATTTTTGATAGTCAAGACGAGGTCAAAGGGACTTTTTCATCAATCAAAAAGCATTTTTCTGAAGATTAATGAACTCTCTTAAAATTAATAAGAACGAAATTATTGTCTCCTTTAGATATGTTGTATGCGGAGATCGTAGTCGATCAGTTTATTGTGTGTCGATTCGACTTTGAACTTGTCGTGCAGTCGGCTTTCATCAGTTTGAATAAAATTGTTCATTTCTGATTGAAATTTTAAATATAAAATTTCAGTTTTGTAACACTTTTCTCCTATTCTTAGTTCTGCTTCAGCAGTAGATAGGAATAGAAATCAATGAGAGCAATGTGTGGTATATAAACATATACTGTTTTGATACTCGCAAGAGAAAATGATAAATCGATTCTTTCGATTAATGAATTTTCCGAATAGTATAACAACTTGCTCCTTATGGTCAATAAACTCAAGAGAATATTATCTCTTGCGTAGATTATTTGATGAACTTTGTATTTGAAATGAGTCTCTCATTTATATCAACTATATAAACTATTTTGGATATTTCTTAATAATCGTAATAAATATGAAGTTTGATATTTACTTTTCTTTCTCGTCGTAATTCTATAAGTTTCTCATCGCATCATTAAACAATTATTTGACAATGAAGTACGTATAAAAATATAGAATGAAAAAAAAAGAAATATTCATTTATGTCTCACAATTTTTAAGGTAGCGATCATATTCAGAACATATTATCAACTTTTATATTGTGCGGCGGTCGATTAATATAAAGAAATAAAAAAAGTTGTCCATCATTGACTATACATATATAAGAGAAGATATCGACAAAAAATGCAGAAACAATTATTTACATCAATATATGGCGTTGATTACATCTTTCGATAATCTACCCGATTTAGTATTGATCGAGGTGTTTGCGTATCTGTCATCTTATGACATTCTTTGGGGATTGACTCATCTTAATCATCGTCTAACAATGTTAATAACTGAACGAGGTTTCTTTTCTCGTATTAATTTATCCATTGCACGTTACCATCAATTTAATAGAATTCTTCATTTTCTTCCATTGAATCATATTCAATTACTCTCAATTGATAGTGATGCATTTCCACTTCAATTAACTCGTTGGTCTTATTTATCTCCTTTGAAAACTCTGGGTATCATTGGTGTATACAATCATGATGATGTTTTAGTTTTTGTTATACTTCATGCAGCAACACTCACTCATATCATCATAAAATCAAACGAAAGAATGGTATCGGTAAATATCACCCATTTGTTTCTAATACATGTAAAACTCTACAAAATGAGGTCCTAATTCACATTGAACACAGAACATGCTTAACACACCACACAGCACTGCGTGAGGATGAGGACTGTGCCGAAAGTGAAAAAGTTTCCAATAGAGTGGAACCATTTAAGAAACAATTAAAAAGGTAATATTGGGTGTGACGTTAAATTCCTTACAATATTGCTAAAAGAAGACCAATTTGTATGCATTGACTGTAAAAGATAAATTATTTTCACTATTTGAAACTTTTAGACTAATCAAAATTTGAGCCGAATAAAATTGTAGTAGAAGCAGTCAGAAAAGACAGATTGATTATTTTAGATAAAACTAAAACTGAAATAACTTCTATGCAAAAGAAATTGATATAAAAATACAATTGAATTTCATTGGATACAAATTGTCGGAATCGAGAAAATAAAGAATAAAAAAATATCCAGTTAAATTATTTGAAGTTATCTGATTCAAATATGAATTCGATTAATAAACGATTTAAAAACTATGATTTACATAACTAAATTATATAAGTTTATTATTACACTAATATGTTAAAATATAAAATAGGTTTTTATTCGGTATGAAATCTTTTTCAAACAATCATATGAAATTATTTGACTTTTCATTGAGACAAAGAAAATAGAACTAATCTGTTCATCAAAAATTATATCATATTCTAAAATACATCTGTAGAATTTGACGTACAATCATATAAGAAAGTTGAATCATTAAAACAAACAAAGCTTGCTATAATTTTCTAACAAATATCATTGTGAAACTTGTGATACTATTTCTAGTTCTAAATATATTTGAAAAGTATCTTGCTTGAATAATTATTGCGATCACATTTTTAAAGATAACAGTGATGAAAATTGTTATGAGATAAAATTTTAAAGAGAATAGATTTCGTTTAGCAATAATGTAGAATAGAATGAGAATTGTTTCAAGAGTCTAAAGATTTTCATCAATTACAAATGATATAGAGAAAACTTTCAATCAATCAGGAAACTTGCCAAAGATCTGGCATTAATTACTATTAAAAAATTTATTTGAACAGAATCTTCACTTTGTTGATCTCTTTTTCAATCAAAGTGCTATTACTGTCAATCTGACACTCAAAAGACTACTTAGCATTATTTTTCACTAATAATGCGTTGATATTTATATACTGTTTTTTAGGATAGTTTTTCAATTACATTTCACTATCCAGTAGGCGACATGGTGACGTTAATAATTTATGTTCTTCCTATTCATTTATCTGCACTTCAATCTCGTGACTTGGGCATGAATTATTACGGAACACTTTGGTTCATTACTACTGCGGTCGCTTCTCTCACTTATCTGCGTCTTTCTTTATTAAGTATGCATATTTTGTTGCGTCTTATATTGATACGTTACGCCAATTACACATGACAATAGGTGATAGTGATTCCAACACTCATTGTCTTGTGTCAATGTCTAATCGATCGAGTCGAATGATTAATTTACCTACATTTGCACTTGTTCAAAAATTTTTCTCAATGTTAACGATTGAATGGACAGTTTTTGAAATATTGACATCTTCGAATGTTATGCCTGTTGGTCGACGTGTTAATGTATCTCTCTTTATTAATATTAATGATTTAAATTGTATTAGTTCATCAGGATTCTTTACTGATCATCGTCCTGTTGATGTTCATTTCGCATTTAATCTTCTTAATTATTCTCAATATATCAGAGTGACGCCATAGATACCACGTAGAAATCGCTTTCATTCACGAGAAATTGTTGGGTGTGGGTATTTGAGAGAAAGGATAATTCACACCCCACACCCTTATTGTTGATTATATTTTTGATCGCCTTGTTATTTCCAGATGTAATATGAAGGAAATGAAAATCATTGTTCTTTACTTAATAATTTAGTTTTTATCTAACAATATGCCAATGTATTTCATATATTTATAGAGTCGTGGACGCTATC